TCTGCTCAGAGGAACCGGGTTTTGGTGGCTGTTACTGTTTCATACAGTGCTATGGATAGAACCCAAGACCTTACAATGCTAGACAAATAAATGTTCTACCACTGAGCCACACTCCCAGATCCCAAACAAGTAAGCTTCCAAGTGATAAACAAGCTTTCAAGTGACAGGAAGACTGGGAGAACAGAATTAGAAAATGTAACAAATGATAAGAGAAAGATCTAACCGGATCTATTTATGTGGTTTACAACATTCTTGGAGATCTTTCAACACAAAGAAGAAGAAAAGTCTTGTCAAAAACACCAAAGAAAGTCCTCAGGGATCAGTAGTCCATTAAAATGCTTGTACAAGAAGAGCAGCATCTTTTGGCTCCAAGTTGTCTCAGCTCTATTGGTTCTCTCAAACAGAAGGCATATGCTAAAATAAAAGTCCAAACACATTGTATTGTGATTTAGTTCCTAAACTAAAAAAAAAATGTATTTCAATGTACAAATCTAAGCAGTGTCCCAAGAAAACTGTTATGTTTGCTAGACAGAAGACTACTCTGACAGTTAACCAGCATGAACACAGAAAAGGCAAGTTTGTTAGGTCACACAAAGTCACCTTGCCTTTCAACTGCAAGCAAAGCTAGACATATACATCTGTTCAGAAACATAAAGCCAAGTCTCAAGAGGCAAATTTTTGGCAAACGTCCAAAACTATGAGACTTGAGAACAAGGTTTGCAGTGCATCAGATTAACTGACTGAAGTGTGTGTGTGGCATCTGGCTCAGAAGTGAATGCTTTCATGAATTCTAAGTCAAGACAGATCTTTCAACTACTGAGGATGCATGGAGAAGACGGCTCCCCCTTTGAAGTTACCACACTTACAATTTGCTTTAGTCCTATGCCACTTAATCAAGTACTGCTCAGTATAGCATCATTTATGTTTCATACATCTTCTCAACTCTTCAGTGTGTGTGTACAAGCTTCAGCTAGAGTGAAAGCACTTAGATTACAGAAACTGTTTGTATTCTAACAAGTAGCAGACAGTCCCACTCAAGGTCCACTTGGTGAGTGACATAGGAAGGAAGAAAAAGTTTATAGAAAAAGAAAAAAACCATGGAAGGTAAACAACACAACACCAAAAGAAAAAGAAAAAAAAAAATCAGCCCTCTGAATTTGTTTATCTGACTCCAAAATTGGGCTGGAATTGTTAGCAAACACATTTTCTTCTGACAAACAAAAATGCAAGAAAATTTCAGAGTAAACAATCTGTGTAACAAAGCAGTTTCAAACACATCTATTTTATATATATAAAAAAGAACAAATACCAATATCACAGCAGACATCAAATGAAACTCTGCAACTCTAAACAACACTTATATCTTTCAATTAAAATTTGTAGGCTTAGAAATATAGTCACTTGAACAATATTAAAAAGTTGAACTTCAGGAACAAAATCCAAAAGTTATTAATATTTATAATCTTAACACTTTCATTGTACAAATAACAAGAACACTCCAGAGAAGTAATATACTTAAAGAAAGTAGTTAGGCAAGGGGGGGCTAGGAGAGGAGTCAGATTTCCCATGCCTTCTTATGAGGAAGGTTGTTCTATGTTAGAAATTATCTAAATGGTGTCGGGCAGTGGTAGCATACACCTTTAATCCCAGCACTTGGGAGGCAGAGGCAGATGAATCTGGTTCTCTGTAAATTCAAGGCCAGTCTGGTCTACTGAGTGAGTTCCAGGACAGCCAAAGCTACATAGTGAGACCCAGTCACAAAAAACACAAAAAGTGAGGGGGGAAGGAAGGGAGGGAGGGAAGGAGGGAGGGAGAGAGGGAGAGAGGGAGGGAGGACCTAAATGGAAAACAGATTATTATTCATCTCTTTTCAAATCAAGAAGAAATTATTTACTAGAGATGGGCACAGTCCTATAATCCCAACACTCACAAGGTAGAGAAGGATCAGAAGTTCAAGATCAGCTTCAACTATACATCAAGTTCAAAGCCAGCCTAGGCTACATGAAATCCTGCTCAAAAAAAAAAAATCTTACTGATATCTAATCTCTAAATACACCCCTCACCCTTTAATATGTATGGGTATTTTGTCTGCATGTATGTCTCTGCCCCTGGAAGTTAGAAGAGGAAATCAGATCCCCTGGAATGAGATGTTTGTGAACCTTGTGTGGGTGCTGAAGAGCAGTACTCTTCTTAACATCTTTTCTATCCCCTTTACTGACTTTACATAACTGAATACTTACAGGAACTTCAAATATATTACAGAAGAAATATAATTGACTCACATGGTATTCTTTCTCCCTGCAAGCCTGTTATTAAGGCTTCTGTTGATTTGTTTTTCTAAGAATAGTTTATTGAGAACACCACAAGGGAGCAATGGATCCCAAAGTAATTACAGAATTGCCTACATCCTGTTAAGGTGTTTTGTTTGCTCTGCAATGTTGAGAATGGAACCAAGGGCAATTCCTCATACTAAGCACAAGCTCTAACCCCCTAGCCCAGAGCTGACATTTAAAAAGCTACATTAGCCGGGCAGTGGCAGCACATGCCTTTAATCCTAGCACTCGGGAAGCAGAGGCAGGTGGATCTTGGTGAGTTCGAGACCAGCCGGTTCTACAAGAACTAGTTCCAGGACAGCCTCCAAAGCCACAGAGAAACCCTGTCTCGGGGAAAAAAAAATTAAAGAAATAAAAAGTTACATTACTCTATACAAGAACTCCCTGGTTTGGTGGCTGGAGAAATGGCTCAATGGTAATGAGTACTTGCTTTTTCTTGCTGAGAACCCAGGGTTCAGCTCACAGCACACCATCCATAACTCTAGTTCCAGGTATCCAATCCCCTCCACCTAACCTCTGCAGGCACCAGACACACACATGGAGGTGCACACACACATGCAGGCAAAACACTCAAAATACAATAGCGTGTGTTGGTGGCACAAGCCTTTAATCCCAGCACTTTGGAGGCATAGGCAAGTGGATCTCTGGTTTCAAAGCTAGCCTGGTCCACAGAGCAAGTTCCAGGAAAGCCAGGGGTCTACACAGAGAAACCCTGTCTCAAAAACCACTCCCACCACACCCCCCAAACGAGATAAACTAAATCTTAAAAAAAAAAAAAAGAACAAAAAACTTTCTGGTTCTCTTTGTTTTGTACAACTAAACACAAAGGTATTACTGACTGGATTTTTTTCATATTTATTTATGTGTATAAGTGTGTGTGTGTGTGTGTGTGTGTGTGTGTACCATCATTCCATGTATGTATGAGTGCCCACAGACACCAGAAGAGTGCATTAGATGCCCTGGAGGTGGAGTTACACGTGGTTGTAAGCTGCCCCATATGAGTGAATACTAAGGAACAAACTCTGCTGCTGCAAACACTTTGAGATATCTCCAGCCCCCTGCATTTCTTTTTGCCTTTGTCATCAACACAATGGTGACAAGAGGCTTTCAAATTACTGTTCTAAGATGGCAATTTTAAAAACTGGAACCCAAAGATTTGTTTTTAGGTCAAAGACTCTAAGAACTTAAGGTTGTGTTTATCCTAAGTACGATCTGTATTCCCTCATTAGCTATCACATAATTATTGATTTCAGTGGCTGCATTTGCTTCTGTGCTTAAGATGGCATTTATAGTTTTCTAAAGGGACAAAGCTTGGGGATGTATTAACAATTTTGTCTTGGTATTTGTCCACAGTGTTGGAGATTGACTCCAAGGCCTTGTAAAAAACAGGAAAGCACTCTGCCTCAACCCTTTGAAGCTTAACTTTAATGCAACATTTTTTTCAAATTTGGCTCCAAAATCTGTATTTTTAACTTTAATAACACTGTTATAAACTCTTATACATACAGTCACAGCTTTTATCAACTTGACACAAACTTAGACACACCTGCGAAGGAACCTCAATTCAAGAAATGCCTCCATCAGACTAGTTGTAGTCTGTAAGGCATTCCTTAGTTGCTAACTGATGTAGAAGGGCCCCACCCACTATAGGAGATGTCATTCCTGGGAAGGTGAGCCTGAGCTATTAAAAAAGGCTAAGCTGAGCAAGTCAGGAAGCAGTGTTTCTCTAATTCAGTTCCTGCCTACATATTCCTTCCTTGAACTCCTGCCCTGTTGTAATTGTTTAAATGAAATGGCCCCCATGGGTACATGTATTTAAATGCTTGGTCCCTAGTTAATAGATCTGTTTGATGGGGGAAGGATTAAGATGTGTCATGAGGGGTGAGCTCTAAGGTTTCAAAAGCCCAGCCAGGCCATTTCTTTCTCTCTCTGCCTTCTTGAGGATCACTGTAAGCTCTTAGCTACTGTTCCAGCGCCATGTATGCCTTCCTGTCACCATGATGGTCCCAAATTCATCCTCTGAAACTGTAAGCAAGCCCTCAAAATTGCCTTGGTCATGGTGTCTCTTTACAGCAATTTTAAAAAGTAACCAAGAGCCGGGCGTTGGTGGCGCACGCCTTTAATCCCAGCACTCGGGAGGCAGAGGCAGGCAGGATCTCTGTGAGTTCGAGGCCAGCCTGGTCTACAGAGCTAGTTCTAGGACTGCCTCCCAAGCCACAGAGAAACCCTGTCTCAAAAAAACTAAAAAAGAAAAAAAGAAAAAAGTAACCAAGATACCTGGTTTCCCTCAATAATGGACCATAACCTGTAAGTCAAGTAAAAAATAAACCCTTTCCTCCCCACATTGGTTTTGGACAGTGTTTTACCACAGAAACAAAAAAAAAATGCCTTCCAAAATTCTTTCTAAACTTCACTTAGTGAATGAAGCATTCAGTGCCTACTGTGTGGTAGTGTACTGATGGACAAGACAGACCAGAACTTGCCCTTAAAGAATCTTTAATTCTGGCAGGAAATAGCAACATAACGAGACAGTCTGAAACCATTTAGAATGAAGCACTTTACAAATCATTTCTCAGCCCGCCTTGTCTGTTAACTGTTGCAGTGTATCAGAGAACCATCATCTCAGAATCTCAAAACACTAAAAGTTTGAGGTCAACTTGGTCTTACCTGTCTGAAAACAGGTAAACTGATCCTCTAAATTCTTCAGAGGCTCAATCTCCTTTCTTTGCTTTAGATTTCCTTCTCATAACTGGACAATGACGCATTCCAACTAGATATTCCCTGGTTGTTTGAGAAACAATTTTATGGAGAGATTTATATTCAGCAAGGTTTTGATAGTACACTTTGAAAGTCCTATGAATAAAAATCAAGAAAACAGGCATAGTTTAAAAATGCCCAAGACACTCTCTGAATTCCAGAAGTCTGTGGACAGATGCTATCCACAACAGCGCAAAGAAACTGCCCGAAACAAACAAGAGTGACCCTGAATAGAGAGTAATGAATGAAATCCGAAGAACAATAGTTTTTCACTATTACATATTATTTACAATGACATTCTTGTTTAATGGAGCTCCATATGAATCCTCAAATGTACATTATCAAATAATCTAACTTAACTTTCTAATGGGTGCCAAATTCCTTGAACAGTTGGTAATAAAATGAAATAGCCAATTCTAGACCAAGTTTTCTAAGTAACAATGTCTTCAAATGAACATCACAGCAGCCAAGACTTCATGAACCCTGGCACAATTTCACTGATTCAGTGTGACTGACTATTCTTACAACTGTTCTTATTGGGTTCTATGGTTGTTTGCTAATCTGATTCTTCTCAGTTATGACTCCTTAGGTCGTTTCTCATTCCCCAGAAAAAGTGTCTGAACTATCAGAAATAAATACTGTAAGTACTGTGAATGTTTTCAATGAAATCTGGGAGAAACTTTTAGCAGACTTAAGAATGAGGGAGAGAATGTAAACGTAACTAAAACACAGCTCCTTGTCTGCAAAGACAGATACGAAAGCCTTGACACATCATTAGAAACAGCAAAGCGCTACGAGGGCTGACGGTAAAATTTAGCCCACATTAAGCCTCCGCATTTAAACATGCAGATGCACAAGGATGGCCAGCCAGATGCACAATGTTTTACTTGTCAGCATCCGGCACCGTAACTAAAGCAGTGAAAACTGGGTGTCAAGAAAGGGCTTCCTCAGAAATAGAAGCCTCCCGAGATCGCCAATCCAAATTCCAATGCAACCCTCCGTCAGACTAACATTCAAAGTGTCCTCCACCTCCACGATAACAATACACAGCTGTCTTTCAGTAAGCCTTTCCAACTCTTCAAAAGCATCTCAAATCTTGCTAGCCCTTACCACCTCAAGTGACAAGCAATGTGACTGACACAAAAAGCCGGCTGTCCCAAGGCTCTTCCTTAAAACTCCATCATTTACGGAAAAAAACTTACACTGGGCGTTCATCGGGCCCCTGCTGCCCTTCATCGACCCCATCCCAACTGGAAAGCTTCAGCCTAAGAGCCCCTCTACCTGGGAACAAAGCAGTAAGGGCGACAGTGCGGCCCCGCGCACAATAAGAAAACTACCAAGTTCAGTGCGCAGGAACATCCTCAATTGGCAAGAAAGAGGGGCGGCGGCAGACACGCCCAACTTCAAACTCGGGAAACCTACGGGCTGGCGGCCAACTGGAAAGAAGCGCCCCTTCCCAGCGAGAGAAGAAAGAAGCGGAGGAGACGCGAGGGGCACCCGGGGCCCGGGAGGGGAGCCCCGTGCTCGGCCCGGCCCCCGCCCCCAGGCCCGCTTCCCCGCCTTCTCGGCCTCTGGTTCGCTGTCCCGGGCAGGGCGGCCGGTTACCTTGATGCGCTCCCGGCACTGGGATGGGGTCCGTTCGTAGCCCAGCTCGGCCAGGGCCCGGGACACGCGCTCGTACATGGCCGGCCCGGGGGCCTTGCTGCCGAATACCGTGCCGGCTCCCTCCAGCTGCTGGTACCGCGCCTCCACCAGCCGCTCGTTGCCCCACACAGCGATGAGCGCGTTAGTCTCTGCCGGCGTCCACGACATGCCCCGGCAAGCGGCGGCAGCGGCCGCCGCAGCCCCGCCACCACCGCCGCCGCCGCCGCCGCCGCCGCCGCCGGGCGAGAAGGAGACCGAGGACGAGGCAGCGCTGCGGCCCCCCAGCCCCAGCCCGAGACCCCCGGACGCCGCGGTCCCCGAGCCCGCCGCGCTGCCCGGCCCGAGAGGGGAGGCTCCCCGCGGCGTGGAAGGGTCGGACAGTGATGGGTTCCCGTCGCTCAGGTCGCCAGGAGAAGCCGGGGAGAGCACCTCCATCTTCGGAATTTTGAGCGGCGAGTTGGCGGGCAGCTCCGAGCCACAGGGCGCAGCCATCTTCCAAGCCGCCGCCGCTGCACCGCCCGGAAGTGACGCGCCCGCGCATCCGGCCACCGCGGTCTCCGGGGCTGCCCTGGGGCCTGGCTCGGGGCTGAGCGGCTCGCGGCGTGCTGGGGCCGCGGAGGAGCTGCCTGTTGGGCTCCGGCGGCTGGCGGATCTCCACTTTAACCCGCGAGCGAGCCGCCGGCGGCCGCTCTCCTCCGGGCGGGGACCGGGCGCGCAGTATCTCGGAGCAGGGAAGGGTGGGGGCATGAGGGCGCGGGAGTGAGGGGCCGAGTGAAGCCTCCCCACTTCCTCTCCAATCTCAGCCCCCACAGCAGGGGTGAGGCCCGCGAGGGGTTCGAGTTAAGGACGAATTGGCTATTTCTATTTTCCTGTCCCTTCCCCTGTGTCTGTCCTCCCTCTAAGCCCGCCTTTAGGTGGAGAGACTGATGTCCAGGGTGGAGACGAGTGAACCCCACAAAGGGTGTGTAGGGGAAGGCCGGAGTTGTGGACGAGGCTTTTCAGAGCAGACGGGAGCTAGAGTGTGTACGCTTTAGCTTTTCAAGAAACTCATCCATTATAGTAACCGATTCCACTCACGTGTTCTGCTGGGCAAACAGCCTACCACGGAGCCACACCCACAAGCCCTGGGTTCCACGCCTAGTCTGTTTTCGTGTTGCTCTGGGTAGGTGTAGCCAGGGACAGTCACTAGATGTCTTTTTTGTTTTTGTACAGTTGATATCATGGGGGTATGAAAGACCTCCAGAGCCCAGCAATAGCTACTCCAGTATCTCACTTCTCTGCGATTTGGAAGTGGTATAAAAACCCCCGGTTTTCCATACGCTCAAGTGCAAGGAAATGAAAAGAACTGCTGGTTATGACAGCTCTTGTGACCTGGTGATAAATTAGCACGCATCCGTCACTCCTGAATGTTTCCATAAAGTCTTGAGCACCAAAGTAACACGTAGCTGTCAGGTATATCCATATTCCTTTTTTGATTGTATGGTTTTGGTTGGTTGCTTTGTTTTTCGACATAGGGAATAGCCCTGACCTTCCTGGAACTCGCTCTGTAGACCAAACTGACCTCGAACTCAAATCCACCTGCCTCCTGAGGCAGCCAATTTTCATATTCCATTATTTCTTAAAGCTGGAAATCTTAACTTTGTGTATCTAAACTAATGTTTATCTTGTACCGTTAACTTTAAAACCTCTGTAGTGGCTCAGCAAGGTAAAAATGCTTGCTGCTAAACCCAAACACCGAAATTTCATCCTTGGGGACCCACCTGGTGGAAGGAGATAACCAACCCCCATTTGTTGTCCTGTGACTTTCACACGTGTAACATGCCATGCAAATTCCCACAGATACACACCAAAACAAAAATTAAACTTCATTTTAAATATGTTTGGTTTTGCCACCTTTAATCCCAGCACTCGGGAGGCAGAGGCAGGCGGATCTCTGTGAGTTCCAGACCAGCCTAGTCTACCAAGCTAGTTCCGGGACAGGTTTCAAAACAATACAGAGAAACCCTGTCTCGAAAAATGTGTGTGTGTGTGTGTGTGTGTGTGTGTGTGTGTGTGTGTGTGTGTGTGTGTGTGTGTGTTTGGTTTTATTTCATGTGTATAAATGTTTGCCTGCATGTGTGTGTGGGGGGTCTCCTGTGGTGCCTGGTACTGGTGAAGGTCAGAGAAGGGCATCAGATAGATCTGGAAGTGGAGTTACAGGAGGTGAGCCGTCATTCCCAGTCTGAGTCCCCTATCAGTGACTACTGAGCATCCCTCAGGCCCCACACAAGATCTTTTTTAAGTTTAAATCTCCAGATTTTGTTTTGTTTCAAAGCAGACTTGAACTGAGGCAGCCAGCTAATGATATTATGAATAGACTATGTGGTATGTTTATTTTGTTCGTGTGTGTGTGTGTGTGTGTGTGTGAGAGAGAGAGAGAGAGAGAGAGAGAGAGAGAGAGAGAGAGAGAGAGAGAGAGAGAGAGAGAGAGAGATGGGTGTTTTTAACTAACAAATTTATGTTAGGTTTTTGAAGGAAAAAAGCTGAGGTCAGCCACAGTTACAGAATGGCTTTGGTAGTTGTTGGAAAGCCAAAGGATTATGCAATAATCATCTTAAAATGCCACCATAGCCAGCTTTAATCCCAGCACTCAGGAGGCAGAGGCAGAGGCAGAGGCAGAGGCAGAGGCAGAGGCAGATGGAGTTCTGTGAGTTCAAGGCCAGCTTGTTCTACATGAGTTCCAGGCCAGAATTTCATAATGAGACCTTGTCTCAAGTACACACATATATACACATGCTGCCACCATAGTTTGTTAAATTTGCAGAATAAGGAAGTCTAAAGAAGTTACAGAACTTTTTATTTGAACAAGTTCTACAATAGCCAAGGATGACCTTAAACTCCTTATCTTCCTGGCTCTACATCTCCTGTATTAGTGGTTCCCTTTATCTAAGAGCAAGATGCGGTCATCTTGGATAAGTCTATGAATTCTAAAGTCTGAATGCCTGGCTTCAAATTCTACATCTATGACCTGCAACAAGTTCTTCATCTAAGGAATGAGGCTAAGCTCACAGCATTATTGAAAGAATTAAATGTTTTAATACAGGAAGAATCCTAGAGTAGTAGACAGTTTACACTAAACATAATATGAGGGCCTAGTTGTTTGGGTTTTTTCTTTCTTTTTGTTTTTTGAGACAAGAAGTTGTAGAATATTATTTTAAGATGTGTTACATTTGTTTATGCTGTGGAACATTTGTTTAATGATGCAAAGATGTGTTGCATTCTTTTATGTTGCATTTGTTTAACTCTGTGAAGCCGTGCTACTTTGCCTGTCTAAAACACCTGATTGGTCTAATAAGGAGCGGAACTGCCAATTGCAAGGCAGAAGAAAGAATAGGAGGGGCTGGCAGGCAGAGAGAATAAGTAGAAGGAGAAAAAAGGGATCAGGAACAAGAAAGATCAAGGAGCAAGAGAAGGAAGAGGACATCAGGGGCCAGACACCTAGCTGTGCAGCAGCCACGAGTAAGAAGGAAAGAAAAGATACAGAAAGAGAGAGAGGTAAAGCCCAGAGGTGAAACACAGGGGGGAATTTAAGAAAAGCTGGCTAGAAACAAGCCAAGCTAAGGCTGGGTAGTCATATGAGTGGCAGGTCCCCCAAAAGAGTAAAAATAACCAACTACAACAAGGTTTTTCAGTGTATCCCTGGCTGTGCTGGGTACACAGGTTGGCATCTAACTCATATAAATCTGATGGGGGAAGTCCTTCTGTGTATATGTAAACAAAGCACTGTTGGTCAATAGGGAAGCAAGACAGGTGGGACTAGGAGTCGAGGAGGATTCTGGGAAAGAGAGGCATAGTGAGTCATGATGTAGGACTCAGGAGAAGTAACCTGCCGGGACCCTTCCTCTGATAAGAATAGACCACATGGAAACACTTAGATTATCAATTATGAGTTAAATACTTAAGTCAGAGCTAGCCAGTGAGAAACCAAGCAAACTGCCAACAGCTTATAATTAATATAGCATCCTGTGTGTTATTTGGGAGCTGAGGCAGCAGTGGGACCCAAGCGGCTAACTGCGTCAGGGCCCAAGTGGCTGGCAGGAAGAGAACACATTACATAGATCACCTATCTCTGCCTCCCAAGTGCCTTTGCCTCCCACGTGCTAGGATTAAAAGTGTGTTCCACCACTGCCCTACTAGGCCCAGTTTTTTTTTAAATATAAAGTATTTAGCATACATGAAAGGGAGAGGGACACTCTTAAATCATATACAGAACAAGAGATTCTAAAGACTTTTTAAATTCCTGCTTTATTTTTCTCTTAATGTAGGCCCACCAACAATCCTCCCTTCTCCGATTGCCTGATTCTGGATGATTCTCAACTCTGACTCACTCAGGAAGCCTTCCGAGATAAAGCCGACTGGGAGTTCTCACCTCCCACAAACTTCAGTTACTATTTATTATTTCTGTATTATTCCTCTTTCTTCCTGTACCTTTGGGTCTACCTAATAAGAAAAAGCTATATCGAGATTAAAATTTGCCGGAGCACCCTAAAAGTAAAACTGTGAATCCAAATGATGGTTGTAAGTAGATAAACATCTATGTGTAAGGTAGTGTATGGAATGGGAAAAGTATAAAACAATACACACTACCTGCCTGCTTTCCTTATTTACACCCTCACTTTACTCTTTCAATCACTTCTCCCATGATCTATGTCAAGTGCCTGGCTTTGAATATTAATTTGCTTTGATTTCATGCATATATATGAGTGCCTGCATGTGTCTGGTACCCAAAGTGACCAAAAATATTGCAATTACAGAGGTTATAAGGTGCCATGTGGGTGCTGGCAACTGATCCTGGGTCCTCTGCAAGAGCAGCAAATGCTCTTAACTATTGACCGATCTATTCAGCCCTTTCCTGGATTTCCTATAAAGACTCCTCAGTTAAGCAGGTCATGGTGCTTGCTGCCTGGCCTCCTGAGTTTGAGCTCCAAGACCCACAGGTAGAAGGAGATAATCAAGCCTCTCAGGTTGTCCTCTGACCTCTATATGTACTCTATGACACAAGGATGTTCACACATGAGCACAGAAATAAACAAAGATATAAAATAAATAGCAAGGACTTTCCTGAAATGGTTAGAAAGAAGTCCTCTACCAGATACCTACGCATACAATAGGGGTTTTCTCCTAATGATCAGCCCTGAATATCCTGGGGCATTGATTCTAGGACTGTGGTTCTCAATCACATATCAGATATTTACAATTCATAACTAATAAGCTTATAGTGATGAAGTAGCAACAAGGAACTTTATGGTTAAGGGTCACAGAATTAAGGAGGTTGAGACCACTGTTCTAGGACCCACACAGGACACATAGGTCTCTCATATACAATGTGGTAGTGTGCATCAAGATGTAGTAGAAAGGCCGGGCATTGGTGGCGCACGCCTTTAATCCCAGCACTCGTGAGGCAGAGGCAGGCAGATTTCTGTGAGTTTGAGGCCAGCCTGGTCTACAGAGGGAGTTCCAGGACAGCCTCCAAAACAATACAGAGAAACCCTGTCTCAAAAAACCAGAATAAAAAAAAGATGTAGTAGAAAATGCCTATAAGCCCAACATGTAAGGGATGGAGGCAGAAGGATCAGAAGCTCAATTCAAGGTCAGCCTTAGTTATATAGTGTGTTTGAGACCTGCCTGGTTGATAAAGCCTCTCCCCAAAGCCATAAGATTATTAAATGAAATCTCAATGTCAAGGTTGGTCCACCTCTTTGTGAGTTGTTGGGCAGGAGGTCCCAGAGATCTCCAAAATAACTCACGATGTAGCCACTGCTGCTGGTTGCCCACCACAACAAGATGGTAAGACCCTACTGTGAGGACAACACAGAGAAATCAAGAGACAATATAAAAAAATCAAGTTGGAACTGAACTGGAAGCTTCCTTCCTGTTGGCTAGCTTTCTTGTGCTTGAAAGTGCTACATAGGCTGCTGGAAATTTTTAAATCAGTCTGACTCAGCTACGAACCCTGCATGCTGTTCTGCTGACTTGCCCCAGGCAAGATGTACTCACTGATGCAATAGTGGAATGGCCATTATGGAGGTAACCAGTCACTCTGATTGGATATGAGCCTTCGTATGAGGAAATTCAAGTCTAGTACTGTACCCTTGGTCAAAAGCCCATGGATCGAAAGGTCATGGGCTGTTGTTGTCTCACTAAATGGGCATAATGTCAAACTGACTTCTAAATACTTATCTATAAGCCCATAGATTAGTGGGGTCGTCAGTTTTGGAACAATCTTTTACAGTAGACAGTGGTTACCTCTGAGATTTGTTAGTCAAAGTACTGAGTACAATCCTTGTGGAGTAGCTGGAGTGATGGTTAAAAGCACTTGCTGCTCTTTCAGAGTGTTAAATTTCAAACAGGAACAAATGGCTGAGGTGCCTGCTTAACATATCAAAGCAGACCTGGCCACCAGGCTCCCCCAGCATCCCTCAGTCCCAAACTCCATCCTCTACCCTGAACCCTTCCCTATAATCCAGCCATTCTGGTTACCCCACCATTTTTTGTTCGTTTGCTCTGCATACTACTGAAAGACCCCTACCCAGGACCCCCTAGGAAAAGAAAAGCAAGGCCAGGCCGTTGCCTAATGAAAGAAACCCAGACCAGGTGTCTCACCCTCAAAACAGGATGTCTGTGATCACTATAGCAGTCATGGGACCCGGATAATAATTGCTGAAGCGTGATGGGAACTTTCATATGACAATACCAGGACACCTAGTCCTTGGCAACTACCCTTGCCCCCAGTTGTGTCTATGATCACCATAGTAGTCATGGGACCAGGATAATAATTGCTGAAGTATGCCTGGGTCTTTCATAAAGTAATACCAGGAAACTTAGTTCGTGGGAACTACCCCTGCCCCCAAGATGCCTGTTACTTATGTAACCATTGAAACTCTATAAATATTGTACTCCCTGAAATACCCGAGTTGCAGTAGCATCTGCAGGCGCCTGTGTACTCAATAAATCACCTCTTGCATTTGCAGCCAGTGGTCTGGCCCCGGTTCTTGGGCAGAGGGTTCAGTTCAGTGCCCGGCGCTTTGATGTCGAGGTCTTTCACTACTATGCTTCCCTTCTCCTCCCTCTCTCTTCCCCTCCCCCTCTCCTCAGAGTCATGACCCTTCTGGATTCTCCCAGATGTGTCTCTTCTGACTATGCTCTCTCACATATCTCTAATAAACTTCTATGTATTTACTTGGGCCTAAAAGGCTGCAGGGCCTGACAGACAAAAACCTCTGTCATCATTTGGTAAATCGTATAAATGTATACAATGGTAGCCTCTCTAAACAAAATAATTCTTTGGAAAAATATCCACACCATGGAGAAGCCAGGAATTCCAATGTACCCTCCTAATCACACCAAGTCAGGAAAGTTAGAGATGTACTAGACATACCTGCTTCCAAGGATGAGATGCCTACAATTCAGATCCAGAGCCTGAGGCCATTAAAGTCACCAGTTCAGTTAATAAATACAGGTGCAGTATAATGGGAAAAGAGTAAGACATCGGAACCTTCCCTTTTGGGCACATTAGGAGGGGAACAGACCCACATAGTAAGACTAGGAAATTGCAGTATAGTGTGTGCTCCACAGAAGAAGTCCTTTTCCCAAGGTCAGGCATTTGGATAAGGGTCTCCATTCCCTTGGGCAGTGGGGTGTTGTGGAACGGTTTTCTGGGCAAGACATGACATTGCATTCTGGCACTCACAGCAGCTGTAATTATCTGCTATATAAGTTACTTGAGTGTTGCTGTGACAAAATACCTGCAATTTATGACAAGAAGAGTTTATTTTTGGCTCGTGGTTTAAGAATCCAATCCATCACAACAGAGGAGGCCAGGAGGCATAAATTTGCCTTCAACATTCCAAAAGCAGAGAGGTAAATGTTTGTGCTCGACTTTCTTTCTTTCCTTTCCTTTCCTTTTTTTTTTTTTTTTTTTTTTTTTTTTTGAGGGGTGGGGTGGGGGAGAGTAACAGGGCTTCTTGTAGCCTTGTCTAAAACTTGCTATGTAGGCTAGGCTGGCTTTGAAACTCAGAAATCTGCGTGACTCTGCCTCCCAAGTTCTGGGATTAAAGGTATGCGCCACCACTGCCCAGCAAGCCTTATACTTTTTATTCACTCTGGGATCCCAGTGGATGGAATAGCATTGCTTACATTTAGGGTGGGCCTCTCCACTTCAATGAACCTAATCTAGAGAATGCCTGACAGATGTGCCTGGAGGCTCTCCAGTGATTCTAGATCCAGTCAAACAACCAAGACTTTTGCACCAGCACAAAATGGGCCCATCCACATTTTGCCATGGGGAAGAAAAGGGATTCACAAGACTGGACCTTTCTAACTCCTGCCAGTGAATGGGAATCTATTTATGACAGCCCCATCTTAATTGAGAGTGACCATGGGGCCTAGCCTCACCCCTCATGGTTCCTCCCTTCGCTGCATCAGCCACCTAGGCAGAGGGACAGTCTAGCCAGTTTCTGCCAACAAACCCTGCTGCCAGATATACTTTATTTACTTTTTGCCTTTTATTTCTGTCTCTAATTTCTTCTTCTACCGACTATGTTGCGCATAGCTTGTTTGCATAATGGTGGGCATTTCCAGGGCCCGGCAGGGTACACGTTTCACTCGGAAACCCTGCGCTGTTCCATCTGCAGCAGCTTTCTTGTCACTGGCAGTTCTTAAGTCTACTCTGTCTCTTTAAATGTCCTGTCTGCTCGCTGCGCGTGAGAATCAGAGATCACATCTGCTTCTTCCTTTTCTCTTTTATCCAGTCCTGTTTAATATATCTAGGTGTATGTGTAAATGTAGCTGTCTAAAAAATGTAAGCCAGCTTAACTCTCTATGTATGTGTATCTCCTTCTAGACAAAGGAGGCAATAAGTCTCAAATATTTCTAAATTGTTATGTATTCTTATATGATGATAGAAACTTTTATTACAAAGGGGGATTTTTCTTCATTTCTTTTTCCTTAGTAGGCATAAATTTTACCTACTAAGTTAAAACCAGTTACAGTCAGGCTGGAGGACTCTGAGTAAAACAGCTCTCCACAGCCTCTTAGCTTGGATCCTGTTCCCCAAACAGATCCTGCACTAATATCATTGTAGCCATACTAACTACAGATTAATTAATTACAGGGATAAAGTCTTACCTAGCCACCTATTAAGGCAAGTAACAAGATAAATTTTGTCTGCTGAGATATACTAAACAGACAGCTCTCAAATGCTCAGAGCTCTAGAGAATATGGCATTTTTTATTTGTTTTGTTTGTTTGTTTGGTTTGGTTTTTCAAGGCAGGGTTTCTCTGTGGCTTTGGAGGGTGTCCTGGAACTAACTCTTGTAGACCAGGTCTCAAACTCACAGAGATCTGCCTGCCTCTGCCTCCCAAGTGCTGGGATTTTAAAGGTGTGAGCTGAGACTATGGCATTTAAAATGTTTTATTTAAAAACTTTTCATAATAGCGCAACAGAGGAAATGGCGCCACCCCATTTCCTCTAAGAAGACTGGTGGACACTGAAGAAACTCCACCCACAGTGGTAATGCTAGCCACTGAGCAAACTTGCATTACGCTGGCCTGCCCCTGCCACCTGGCAGAATGCACTCAGGCAGCAC